CGCAACCTTTGGCTTCCCCAGCGCAGCCACGCGTTTCAGTTCCGACAGTCTGCGCGTCGTCGAAGAAACACCCATGCACCGCCGCCAAAGCGAGGACACCATTGCAGAAGAAGAGACCAACACGACTATGCACTGGACCTCGCCATGTACGCGCAAACGCGAGTATGAGAGGATCGACAAGGCCAACAGCGGTCTTCGGGGTTTCTTCCGCAAAGTAACACCGCGATGTGTTTCAGGTCCCCAGGAAAAGTTTTACTCGGACAAGGACCAGTCGGATGCTGGATCTGTGCGACGTTATCGCATGGAGGATCTGGATGACGATGCGCATGTGGATGAGAAGCATGATGCGAGACCCAGGACGAGTCCGATGCCTAGACCAGGGTCGAGACCGGGGATTGCGAAGAGGTGGACGTGTTTCTAGATGAGACGGAGAAGACACAGAAAGAGAGAGACAGAGAGAGCATATTACGCAGCGACGATTTTGGCATATTTTCCGCGGCATTGAAAAGAGGCGTTTGCTATAACGATACCCACGGCATGTTTTCTTGTTTTGCAGGTCTGTTATCGAGGAGAGGAGAGTTTGCATTATACCAACCGATACGTCCATAGAGTAGAAGTTCGTCCTTAATTTATAGTTTATTGCATCTATCAAAGAATCCGCGCTGATTTAGTGAATTGGATGTTTTACCTGTGGTTCGCAAAGTGCCATGAGTTTAGTACTTGTTTAAAGAACGAATATTTGACACGGAGACATGCTATGAATATGGTGCAAAAGATGTGAATTAAGTAATCTGCGTTGATATAACGTTATGTAGTATTTATAATTTGGACTCCTCCTTGACTGTGCCAATCTTGAGTTTGGGTGCGTATTTCTTCAGTACGCTCTCGTTGTGGTACTGCATGTCCGTTAGCGAATCCTTTCGTCACGTTTGATAACGATTCTTGCTCTGATCTAATCAAGGGTCCAGCTTGCGACCGAGTCCTTGGTAGCGAGAACCTTGGATGCCCGGCGGTACTGAGACCCAGGCGCGCCACAGAAGCAAGCCTTGCGGGGGGACGCGCGCGACATGTGTTCCCACTGTTCACTCCCCTCCCTGTACATCCTAGTCAAAACGTACCTTCCAGAACTGCTTACTAGCATCCTTTCCACCCACTCTCTTCAGAATCTTGGCGCCACCTGGGTGCTCGTCGACAAACGAATCCATCTTGTATACATCGCCATCGACTATTATGTACAGTCCCTTCTCAACGGTGTTGTGCTCGGCGACTTGCTTGGTGGTGAGAGACTCGGACATGGTGAGTTTTGTGGATGCGCAACGGCGACTGAGGTTCGTCGGCGTTTGAAAAGGCGGGAAGAATGTCGCGTCGGCGATCGCGTCGAGTCTAGGCGGACGATTTGTTGTGTTCGGAAGGCGGAAGAGCTGGTTGGCTCTGGGTATAAAAGTAAAGGAAACACGGAAGGGGAGGAACCTGGGGTTGTATGGGGTACGGTCCAGGGAAGTAGCTCGGGTTGCGGCTCGGTCGTGGATGGCGAGGAGTGTGGAGTGGAGGTATGCCGAGGTTGATGAGGCGCGCTAGGCCTGCGTGTGGTAAGCTGCGTTGCGGGGATCGTGATTGGTGTGCTGGAACGTCACTTTCTCTTTGTGAAATACTTCCCAGCATCCTTGGACTGTCTTTTACTTCTACTGAGACTTCGCAGCGCCCAGTGTTCATGGCTTTCGAAGAGTTCGTCGCCAGAGTCCACATCAGTAGGTGACGCAGTGCGCGTCGTTAGGTTTCCTTCGCACATGCTACGCACCTTCAAAGTAGTCGTTATTCTCTGTGGAATCGTTTCTCTAAAAGCATTTGTTTTCGTCCCATCTCAAACCAGGAATCTAGTCAGATAGTTCGTCTCGCATCTACGGCCTCAACACTGTTCGTTTGCCGATGACTGCCTGAGCTCAGTCATTCGGCTCCTTGCATCACTTACCAGCTAACATTGATAAGGTACAGCAGATTATTGGAGCCTGTTGTCACTGCTTTCACTTTCTTTCCTACATCTAAATTGGTCCCTGGGTCAGTGCGACCGCTCTCGAAAATTGTGGCCCAAGCACGCTTGCGTCCAAAACTGGTCCTGGTCTGGTTCATCTTCTTCGACACCTCGACTCACTTCCTCAACCGCCTTACATATTAACAGTATTTCTTCGACAAGTCAACTGCAGTATCTTTGCATCATCGTACTTCTCAATCACTTCGTCGATTCTGTGCTGACAGAGCCTTCAACGCCTATATCAACAATATAAGATGGAGTCACGCCTTCTGCAACTGCCAGGCGAGCTTCGTAACAAGATCTTCGAATACGCTCTCACAATCGACGACGGAATCTGCTATCGCGAGGACAAGCTCGGTGTGGGCTGGCTTTGTCTCCATCCTCAACAAACGGAACGAGATGTCGAGGAACTTGCTCAACCTCAAGCTGCCGGCGCCAGCCGTGAAGAGCTCGAGGACGAGGCTCCGGCACGAAAACGTCGTAGGCTTACAAAGGCTGTTCGAACTACCAAAAAACCCGTTGTAGCTGCCAGAAAGATGAGACGCCCTGCGCAGGTCACAGTGAACGGACATGTCGTCGCTAACCAACTTCAATTCGTCAACAATCAACTTCGAAGCGAGACTAGGGCATTGGTTATTCGCTACAACGATATACACATCCTCGAAGAATATCGGCATCTCACAGAGTTCATCGATAGTGTCGTCGGCCATAAGAGAATATGGATTCAGAAAATCGTTAGGCGGGTGCAGTCGAAGAGGAAATCGAGAAGGCCCATCAAGGTCAAGTCCCACGAGGCAATGCATCCCCGATTTATGATCCATGACTACCTCCCAGAGGTAAGTTTAGATGGAGATGCATTCTTCATGGTTGCAGGAGTCATACATGAGTTCGGTCGCCAAGATGACTCGTTTTTGAGCCGGCTAACCCAAAACGTCAACTTTCAACAACTCGTGCGCAGTTCGACTGGCCTTCCCAAGCTATCGCCCTATACCAAGAAATTTCCCTGGGATAAAAAGTTCGACGAGGCTGCTACTCGACGTTATTGCGAGACGAATGACTTCGTACAACATTTTCTACTCCCAACTGCGCCAAATGGCATTGAAGGTCTAGTAGCCATAGCCAAAGAGTGGATCGAGAATGGGTATTAGGTCTTCAGAGGGGCGCACCATGTTTCGGCGAGCTATGATATGATGTGGAAGGTAGCGCAGTGTGTGGAACGCTCTGAGTCTCGTAGCAGACAAGACGAGATAAGACTGCTTCTTCGAGTATGCTATGTACAGAACACTAAATCTGGGCCAATATGTACATTTGGTCTGACCACACACCACACAACGTGATCTACATCTATGCTGCAGGACTAGCAACTGAAGTAGTGAGTGAACCGCTCTCAATGTACGTCCCAGAAAAGAACCAGTCCTCCGCACCTGTCCCATCGTTACCCTGGCGGGGAAGACGAAGAACACCAAGATGCCAGTCGGCACCGTTTGAAGAAGTGCTACTGGAGAACGGTCCAGCAGTCTTAACAAGCGTGTTGTTACCAGTGGAGTGCCAGAAGGTAACTTGGTTGGATGAAAAGTTGATCTCGTAAGCTACGTTGTGCCATTCGTCGGCCTTGAGCTCGACCTTCCACTTGCTCTGGCCACCCACCATCCACTGCCTGTTTTGGAATTAGCATGGTTTTCGTACTGGGCTTCGTCGCGTGGTTGTCTTACAGGTTGGTGTTGCTGGTGCCAGACTCTCCGTTGACCCATCCGTACTTCAACTCTGTGAAATGGCTCTCGAAGAAACAGATCTGGTGTTCGTTTGTCGCACTCGGAACATTGGTAGTGGATCTCTTGATCGAGAAGTGGTAATATACAGTGCCTTTGTTGATAGCAGCTGTGGTCTGAGGAATGAGCTCCGTCCTCCACATGTCGCTGTTCCACTTGGCTGTGTTGTCGATCGTGATCTTGGCACCTTGCTTGCTGCCAGTGTCCCCAGGATTCTTGTAGTTTGGCGAGAGGTTTACGTATTTGGTGGTAGCGCCCGATCCGTGGATGTAGTATTGGTAATCTGGACGAGGAAGAGGCTTTATCAGTGATGTTTGACATGTAGCCTGAACGTAGTACTCACTGCCTACTTGGTTTGCCCAGGACCATTTGTCCAGATCAGAAGAAGATGTCATCTCGTTGAAGCGGCCATCCCAAAGGATCGTGCCTGTCTCTGGTCAGCGACATGTAACATGCGTGGACGAAGCCAACGAACCCGCGGACACGGCGCTCAGGAGCGCATTGACAATAGCTGCCTTTCCAAACATGTTGGTAACTGGGAGCAAAAGAATCGCTGCGTATGGATACGATGAAGATTGATGGTTGAGGCGTTGAAAGTTGAGGCATTCAAGACGCTATATAAAGATCATCCCTAGTAAATGCTCAGAGTACCTCGACCCGAAGATGGAGGCAAGATGTCCGCTTCATGGTTAAGCGCTGCACATCAATATCCGGGAAACAATATAGGGCTTGCACTTTACTTTGAAAACATACTGAACGTGGACTGCGTGACCACACATCTCAATCAATCTAATTGCACCTGCCGGTATCACATATAGCTGTGGATCTAGTGGCGGCCAACCGGTCCGGCACACATTGCGCCTTGTCTCACCGCGACGCGGGAGATGGCAACCCGGTTCTCGTCACTGCGACAGCGGCACATGGTTCGATGCCGGAGATCGAAGGCCTCGTAGAAATGAAGGGACGGCGGGTTTCTTGGTGGAGGAAAGACGATCTCGCAGGGTGTCGAAATTAAGCTACATTAAGCCGAGGCCTGCCCCACAATCAGCCTAGCCAAGAACAGACCTCAAAGCTTGCGCAGGTGAGCCAGTTAGCGATTGCGCCCTGCATCACCTGCGTGATACGAACATCATCTACTGTTGTATTACATTTTGATCCTTTCCACAACTGCTTCCTAGTACCTAGGTAGCTCATCGCCAGTCTTACATTCCATACAGATACTTCCTCACCGCATCTGCTCCTTCCTTTGTTGCAGTCTCAATAGGTCCCGCCTTGGCCTTCGCTTTTGTGTGTTCCATGTATGTAGGACTAGCAAGCAGGGTAGCTGTAGACGTCACCACAGCAAGCGTATCCTGCGTTACACTCTCAAATATGGGATCTTCTGACATACACCATAATTCACCTTCGAACTCCGCCATAGACTCATGCTCGCCGCAAAGTAGAGGCACCTCATACTCTACAGGCTCTCTATTGAGTAGTGCTGATTCCACTGCCTTGCGTTTGAGCCATTTCACGCTGGCTACGTCGGTTGGATAGGGTTTCTCTGGTGGCTTGTGATAGACGTTGTCGTCATCCCAATTGTAGATGGTGTAAAGCGGATCATCTGGTAAAGCACGAAAACCATGATCCGACACGGTACGAGTAACCACAAGTGGCCCGCCTATCGACTTCTGCGCTAGATAGGTAAATGTCGCCCAGCATTCGGAGCCAGGGGTCTGGGAGTCGAACTGAAAGCTGTGTCAGCACCGGACCCACTCATTGTTGAAAGTCAAACTTACACCATATTTCTTAATGAAGTGGGATCCATCCGCCCTAGCATTGCGTCGCCCAGAGTCCATGCCATCAAATTTCCAGGTGATGGGTGGATCCGGTTTTGCACTGCCACAGACGTCTTGTCTGAAGCTACTGCAGGGTACCCACACAGCTTGCCTCCAGGCCGAGAAGTCTCGACCTTGAGCACCATTGGCTTCACCATTGACCCATCGTACCATTTGAGGTTGATAAGCCCATGCCTCTGTCAAAGCCCCCATAGGAAACTCATCAGCTTCGCAACGATAGCGTTTATCCGGAATACTGTACCCGCCAAGCGACCGGAACTCAGTAGCTCGGTATCTCCCGTATCTCTTCTGTTTGAACCCTTTACCCTTAGCTCTTTCGCCATAATGGTAGACAGAGGCACCGTTCAACCCTTTGTCAATGGCCCATCTTTGATTGTCACATATCTCATCCCAACCCTTGCCGTACCTGCAGGTATATGTGACATAACAGTCACAAGTTGTGGAGGCGGTTCCTGGCTGAGCAGGAGGTGCGGTGAAGATGAGCTTATCCCATTGACCGTACTTCTTCCCGTCGGGATCTGGGGATCCAGTGTTGCGTGGTCTTGCGTTTATGATATTGTGCCATGCTTGTAAAGGGCTGGTGATGCGGGGCGAAGCGTAGCCTATAACAGCACCTACTCCAGCACAGGCGGCATAGCCTGCTGGTGTTGCGATGAGAGACAAGCCAATAGTGAAAGCGGCAGCAAGTACTTGAATCATCGCCATTGCGGAGATACAGACCATGACACCCGTTGCGATGTTTTTTCTGTCATCACGCTTTGCAAGACCTCCCTGACCGATCAGATTGAGCGTGCTGGTGCTTGTAGACGATGATGGAATAAAACCAGAGCAACAGTAAGCTTGATATCCGCCGTTACAGTGACGGTCTCCGTAGTTCGAGTTTCGGGCGACTATGACGGCAGAAGAGTCGCTGCACGCGGGGGCACAGGAAAGGCCAACTCCTCGCCAACCCTCCCACTTGCAGGTTCCCATGACTGTCCCGGGCGCACAACATAGCGTCTGTTCCGCGTCCTCAGGACACTCAGTATCTCTTAGCGTGCCTGCAACCTGCCCTTGGGCATTGGTAGTCGCGAACCAGCCTGGCTTACAAGATGATCCACAGAAACTCCAATAACAAGAATTTCCGACAGCGGCTGCTTGTGTCACGTTGTTCAGCTGCTTTTTAATGTTTGAGGCTTCGTCTTTTGAAACCCCACTGGCTGGGCCAATGCCCAGAAGATCGTTGGTGCTCGAGCTTTGTGCATTGTCCTGATCTACAGCCCAAATCATCGTACCACCGAGACAGCGACTGTTCGCATAAGCCACTTTCAACTGCATAGTTTCGCCATCATCATAGCTGACCCATTGATTGGAATCCCATGATATCCATTTTACTGCTGCGTTGCGATCAAAGCCCCTGCTCACACCCCCTCTGGCAATGATGCGGTTGATCTCGGCATTGGTAAGGGTACCAGCGGATTGTGTACATTCTCCTGGTTTCCCACCTTCTGTGAAGGTACAAACTCCGTCTGGCATATTGCAAGCTGGGTCCGACAGGGTGAACGACCGACCATACCAGCCCAGACCCAGGACCACCTTGGATGGCTGCACGCCTGCCCGCCAGAGAAGGTCAAGACCTTCTTCAATCTCTGTCAAGTTGGTGTGCGGACGAACGTAGGGTCCTGTGTGCCTGTTTCCCGAGTCCCAAACCCCATGAATGTCGTAGCTCATTACATTCATCCAATCGAGATGATGCTGAAGAGCCTCCACGTCAAATCCCTTCAGGTACCAGAAGGAAGCAGGCAATGTAAGACTGATTCCGTAGCGACTTCCTAGAGCGGAACGCAGCTCTTTCATGAATACGACAAAGTTCTCTTTGTCCGCTTTGATGCCGCCTCGATCTTCAGCGGCCGGATACTCCCAATCTAGATCTACATGTTACACGGGGTTAGGCTATACTTCTCTAGGCTCGGTCCGTACTAAGGCGAGGTAGACTAAAGCGGTAGTCCGTGAGGTATCGTATGGAATGATCAGGTGGAAAAGAGTTATCGTTGTAACCAAAG